GGTCCCTCGTCTAGGGTTTGACCTTGCAGTGGTGAGCGAACTCGGGATTGGAATATCCGTCAGCCTAAGTCCGCCGCAGACCCATTTTAACCCCGTAACACAAGAATCTGTACTGCTCAAACTCCTGGTGGGACGGCGCTCTCCTTGAGTGACAGGAACGCCCTAGCAAGGCTATCCTGTGGGACGAAAAATGCTACGATCTTTTCTCAAGTCTGCCTTAGTCGCCTTAGTGTCCTGCACTTGACTCCCAAGGCTCATGACCGAGAACATTGGAAAAGAAATCAGGAGCTGCGCAAGTCGGTCGATGAACGAGGCGACTAAGTGAGTAGGTAATCTGAAGTAAAAAGGAAAATGACCACGCTGTTTTGCAGTTGATAACGTCGCAACCAGTCGGGGCGGTTTCGAGTCGGGTGCAAGGAGTCCACCCGCGGCGCTCGCACCAGTGGTTGTTTCCTTAATGGAATGGATCACTAACCAATCACCATTGGCAGGTCAAAGCAGTCGTAGGCGCTCCATTGTTGAAGCAAGCGACCGACAATAATTGAAGGAAAACGGGCTGGCGTGCTCCAAATCCAGCCCCTTAAAATGCCCCAGCATCCGCAGCCATCAAGGCTATGTATACAGCCGTCATCATTTGAGTCAGTCGCGGCGTGTCAGCAGAGCGTTAGAGGCGCCAGCCCCTTTTTTTGGGTCGTTGCGTCTTCAGTGAATGGTGGGAAAGGAGCTGCCGCCACTCCAAAACCACGACCCGCTGATACGCCCCCAATGGGTTCAATGATAACAACCCTAATTGTCTGGAAGACTTTTACGCAAGATCTTCGCGCCAATGTTTAGACCCGTTCCAAATAGGCTCAAAGCAATTTCTAAAGGTTCTCTCGCTTGTACTATGAAGTGCTCATTCTGCCTGAGCTCGAGTGCTGTTGTTTGTCAGAAGCCACCCTCCTCTCTCTCTCTCTCTCTCTCTCTCTCTCTCTCTCTCTCTCTCTCTCTCTCCCCTCCCTATTTCGGTATTATTCCTTTTTTCACCATGCAAGGACTTGTGGGATAGTGGCCCTAGGAAAGCCAGGGACCGGCAGAGCAAAAGTCATACGAGTTAATCTGAAAAGAACATCGGATGATCTTAATTAGGTGCGTAATTGAGAGTAGGGTGGACGCATACTCTCTTTTTCTGCGACTGATTAGATTCAGATTTTTCAGAAGGGTTGCAGGTCTTCGTCCACGTGGAACCTACGTAAGCACCCAGAAGATTCAGCTAAACCTCTTATCTTCCTGTTGATGATTAACTCCCTCATGACTTCTACGTAGCTCAGGGCTATTTTAGTTCTGTAAATGTGAATGGCTAGAAGGCTTTGAAAGGCTACAACTGAACTGGAAAAATTCTACAAAGTCTGCTGACGTCAAGTCGCATTTCATATTATTTCACTGCTCATCACTTCCCGACCGTAGGTGTAAGCTTCAAGAAAATCCAAAAAAATGCTATTATTATGGTAAGCTAATGAGGTAGTAATGTCAAATGCTTGCGTGAATAAGCACATATCTCCACTACGGTAAAATTATGTACAAATGCAATGCATGAAAGTTATATTTAATTCGAAACCTCGGAAATTCTTCGAATCGTATAGTTTTCTGAGTTTATCCACGATGAAACTTATTATTAGAAGGCATTCAAGTTGTAATGTTACTGTAAGAATAAAAAATGATTTAACTAGAGACATCTTTGTGGTTAAAAAAGGCGAAAAAACAACAAGTAAAAGCTGTTCTCTGGTGTTACTTTTGTGAAATTATAATTACGAAACTCGTTTTTCTTCTATCCGTCACTGATGATTTCTGAGAGATATTCCTACTATTTAAATTCCGTCCCAGAGCACTTGCGGAACAGTAACTGGGCTATCTCTTCGAACTCGTATCCCTTTCCGGAAACTTGGCTAGAAGTGATGAGGCGTGTCCGCGCTGCTGCGTTTGGCACGGCGCCAACCATTTTTCCTTTCCTTTCAGCAAGCGACAGGACTGTACCGTGCGTATCATTCGTTTTCTCCTATTGTTGTCACTTACATGCTCAAACAACTGATGGACTTGGCGGCGTGCCAAACGCAGCCGCGCGGACACGCCCCATCATCCTCAGTGAACCAGACTGCATTTTACTCGTTAATCGTATTTAGCTTTGCTTCCTGACCTTCCGAATAGTAATATTCCCTCAATGGTGCCTGGTAATTCGGTTTCTACTAACATTTTTTCAAAGAGCTTAACCTTCTCTACAATGCTGGACATTCTCAATGCTTCCAATACGCTGCTGCACATGAGCACCAGTGACCAGTACAAACAAAAACATACCTCCGGATGTGTTTGGAGCAGACCAACAAGTTGTTGCGCTTGACCTGGCAGATCTTTTGCCTCGGCACCAGGCATGGCTACGTTCAGCCTAGCCACTTCCCATACATTAGGTGATCCGATTCCATTCGAGTAACCAAACAGGTTAGGATTGTATTTACGAAGAATATCTGAAATAATAAACATGTATATTTGTTATCTATAAATTCATTACGACCCCAAAATACTGATATGGGCACCCGCAGGGTAATTAAGTCCTGCGTCACTAAAGAGCACAGTGAACTAATTGCTTCAAAATTCCTTGCACATCTGAACCAAGCTGCATGTCACGGAAAGTGGCTTACGAGACCGATATGTTTGGCTGGGAAGTTTCCTGCTTCTTCTTTGAAAATTTCAGACCTCTCATCACGCTATTGGCATTTAAAGGCAGTTGGCACGATAAATCCCCAAGACGAGTAGGATTAATACGCCTGGCAGGACGGAATTCCGCGACCCTGAGCAGGCGCTGCATAGCGCCTTTCCCAAGGAAGGTGCCCTTATAAGGGCCCCATGAAGCTACAACATTACGACCCGAACGCCCGCCACGCCCGCCCGCCCACAAATGGACGACCGTTCCTGACGCTCGTACTGCTTCATTTGCTAAGCAAATTATGAAGCGAAGGGATTGGTATGAAGCGGCGGTGCTGCATGGATATATGAGTACACACATGCAGCCGTATCTTCGGTAGCGGTTATTGGCAAGATGCCTACGGGAAACTCGTCCGAAATCGATTTTAAGTCACTGAGAACGGAGGCTTTTTCTTCGCAGGATTTTGACCGTTTCACTCCGTTCTTTCGCCATTTCCCCACTATACAGCGCCCTACTAGCATTTTAGGCCAAGCACCAAATCAGCTGCCTTTAACTCAGTCGATGCAGCATCTCTCGAAGGAGGAAGGAAACTTAGAAGCCACATGCCGATCTGGCTCTGGGTGGACGAAGTCGAAGGTTTGTAAGAAACAAGACATCCTTTCCAAAAAATGCAGCGAATTTCAAATGAGCACGGAAGGAGCTATTTTCGAAATTCATTTTTAATTTTGTATTTTCATTGCAGTGGATATTAATTCCATCGTATCCTATGAACCCTACAAAACATCCAGTCGCAGAGATTGCTGAATACCCGCTTTTCCCAATCCTGCACCACTCGAGCGACCCATTACTTTATCTTTATTGTCACTGGGTTGTATAGAAGTATGTGATAGGAGGTTCGAGGAGCAGTGATAACCAGCTGATACCCGGACGTGTCTTGTCACT